GATTTAATCATGGAACCAAAGTGTGCTGGCTTCAAGAGAAGTGGATCTTAATCGGTGGAAGAGCATTTCTCGATGAACAAATAAACAGTCCGACAAACGATGAAAGGGCACGGAATATTAAACGTATTGATGTAAACAAAAAGACTCGAAAAGGTGACATCTTGACTGAAGATGAAGTGATTCCAATTGGATCCATATTCTGAAACAAATGAACAATTGAGAAAAGGGTGAGAAACACAAAAATAACGACACAAGCTGATACTACAGCAGGTAGTGATTGTAAGTCAACTGTGAATGAGAATCCATTAGAGTGAGGAAAGATTAAAAACGAAAGAAAAAGTTCCTCAGATTATGAGGAAAGATGGAAAACGAGGAAAAAATTTTGAGCAATGGGAAGCACGATTTGGCCGTTCAGGTTAATTTACATGATCACTGTAATATTTGATAGAAAATTAAAGATTGATAACATTGAATGGCAGAAAAAAAGTTAATGTTACGCTAATGAATTACCTAAACATTTGAAAATTGGTAAACTTTAAGTTTAACTCAAAACGTGTTAAACCGGTTTTTGGGTTGACTTGAATCAGCCGAAAGCAAAGCAAATCTATGAAGAAAAAGAAACTCACAATCCATGGGATTTCAAATTCATTTCATTGACATTTCACTTTTCAAGAGCAAGAATGAAACCTTGGAAAGGGTCAAATGTGATTGGAGGTTAAAAACAAAACAAACTTTAGTCACATTTTCATTGGAAAATTTTCAAACCCATTTTTACTGAAGGCCTTTCCTCAGCTTAAATTAGCAACAAGATTAAGATTAAATCTTTGCCTAAAGCATTCGACATTGACAGTGAAAGGTTCAAATAAAAGCACATTGACAATAGACAAATTGAAAGCTTCATTCCTCAACCCAAAAATTGAGAGAACACTAATTTCGATTCAAAATCAATAAAAGACTAACCACAAAGTCTTCGGGTTTACCATATTGACCATAAAGACTGCGAAACATGTTTAGTGCAAAATAGTCATAAAAAAGATCATTCAACCTATGAAGTTGATATAATGTTGCAATTCAAAATTAAGTGATGAATTGAATGAAAAATGCACTTTAAAAGGACTTATTTTTTCATAAAAATCAACGTTCAAATTTTGTCTATCGTTCTTAAAGGTAAACGCTTTCAAGACTTAAACAGTAAATTTACTAAAAAATCAGATCAATTTAAAAATCAAAACAAAGAAGAATACAAAGCGCAAATTGATTCAACTCTGATTTACCCAAAAACGAAATTAAAAGAGCAACTAACATGGAAGAAGCCAAAACCTAATACATTCAAAGTGCAACAGCAAGAATTTAGGAATTTCTAAGCTCCAAAAGCTTTCATGATTTTCTTTTAAATTGAAAAATTCATAGACTCATTGACACTTTTGTGACATTTACGTACTTTTTTCTCAACCAAAACTTGGATCATTTATTGGAGTTATTACTTACAATTTTACATTCATTTACATCTGATTCCGTGATTGGATTGCTTACTGGTTCAGTCTCAACGAATATCACAGGTGGACTGTCATTGTTGTTCATTTCATCGGTTCCAAGTTCTGAGTGTTCATTCAAAGGCACAACAGTAAACTCAATTTTGGCTTTGTTTTCCATTGGCACATTTGAATCCATGGTTGAAACAATTTTCACTGAAACGGCAAAAGCAAATTTGTTTATAAGGAAAACAAGATTATCAAATGATTGGACTTGAGGTTAAGCATGGTAAAGATTAAGATGAAAGAGCATCAAAAATGAAATGAAATAAAAAAGTTGATCGTGAAAGTTGAAGTTTCACTTTCAGGTGAACTTGGTGAAATGAAAACAAGCAATGTAAATGTTGATCAGGTAAAGAAGACAAAAAAGGTTTGAGGAAAAAGTTATCAAATGTTTTCTTTTGAAGTTTTTTAAGCCGTGAATTACAGGTAGTTAAAGATGATAATAATAATTATGATTAACAGATTACTCACAATTTTTTACGTTGGACCGTGAAGGTTTCCATCGATCATTGTTCAATTAAATGTCAATCCTTTTGGGTCTTTCATTTTTACCATTATTTAATGTTTACTCACTGATCTGGATTGAATGGGCTCCATTCAGGGCAAATTGTCAATTGAATGAGTTTTAATTATCAAATATGTTCATCATTGCCAATTCATTTCAAAGTTGATGAACCTATGCCAGGCTTCCAGGGGAAACACCTTTTCAATTTGATGAAAATAATTTCCTCGTGCTTATCAAACCCTTTAATTTTATTCTCATAATTATTTGCAGAGTTGGCTAAACACATTGACAGATTTCAATTGTTTTATCATCTAACAGCTTAGATGATGAATTTGGAATAACATCTTATGGATTTGCATTCAAATTCCCCATTTCAATTTGAAACCATTGAGCTTGCTTTTTCCAGATATTTCGCTCACAGGCTAAGCAACTATTAAAGACAAGATTTCTTCGCAGAAATAACATTGGAATAAAAATGGAAATGAATTTTAACCAGCTCAGCTAGAGATTAACTGACAATTGTGAATATTTTCAAATTTTCATCTGTTCTCATGGGTATGAAGAAGAGTGAAGATTTTAAAATTTGTGCGGCCAGTGAGAAAAGCAATGGCTCAATCTTGACCGACACTAGAGGGTCCCGTGAAAACTGTCCAAAAAATCGGTCGATTGTCAAAATTTAAGACAAAAAGAATGAAAAATTTGAATGCAAAACTGCTCGCAAATACGCATTGATCGTAAAACCAGAAGAGTCCATGGTAGGTTTAGGAAAGCTCCGAATTGTTGATTAAATTAACTCTTCTATATCAAAATAAAATGTTGAAATTAGTGATTAGAAGTAACTATTGTTGACATTTAAGACTTAAAAATGAGTGTTCATGATAGATACTTACCAGTTAATTTGCGATTGTTTATGTCCATTTTTGTTCCGGGTTTGTTATTGAGCTTTGAGCAAGCATTTTCAGCAATTTTACCAAGCAAATGTGATGAAGCATAAGAAAGTTGCTTACTTCATAATCGTTTAACCCTCGAGAGGTGGACTTAAGTAAGTTACCATGTCTTTAGGCTCATTTGTTATAAAAATAGGAGCCAACCTTGAGCGAGGAAAAGAGTTGGTTTGACTTTAAGCTTGTGATGACTCGATTTCACTCATCCATTTTACGAAAGCTTTTTTGCGTTGATCTCCAATTTGGTGGAAGATAAAATTGTTCATAAACATTATTCTCAATAGATTTCAATCCATGAAAATATATTAAACTGTTACAACTTGACTTTTCCATCGAATCCTTCAATGTAACTGTAACAGGTTTCATTATTCCAAGATCGTTCTTGTTCTCGTATCAGCATATCCACAACGCTAATTTAATTTCAAAATTTCGAATCACAATTTAGCACTGCATGACCAAGATGGAGTTCTCGACAACTTGACTCAACGTAGAGCTGAAAAAAGCACCTTGAATGATTAAAAAAAGCATTCTCATGATCAAGAAGTAGACACAATCTAATGAAATAATTTTTCTGTTGCTTAGTTAGTTTCGGTAAATAAAGATGGCCTTGCTGTCAGTATAAAAACACTTTCTCCCCCTAGGTGGCGCGTTGAAACGAGTCGGCAACAGTTTTGAAAAATTAAACAAGTTTTCTGAAAGTTGAAAACTTACCGCAAACCCAAAGTAGGTACATTTTAGTTGAGCTAGCTGGATATTTGTATTTAAAAATTTACTAAAAATTGTTCAATGAAGAAGTGAAAAGTGAAAAGTGAAAAGGATGCAAATAGGATACCCATTTTGGCTGTGATTTGGATTTTACATATCAAATAGGTTTTATTGTGTTACCTCTTGTGTTGTTGTTTTGGGTTAACCATTTTTGTTACCAACTAGATCTACCATTTCACTATGCCTGCCGTCAATTGGATTGTTGAACCTGTTTTCTTGAGCAGAAAACCTTTACCTCCGGATAAGGAATTAGATGAATTAGAAGCCATTGCCAATAATACGCTTGTTGCATTGATTAAACAATTGTCCTGCCTAGCCTTCATCTCTAACACCATTTTTAATGAACTGTCAGCCGAAGTTGACTCTATCAACAAAAAAACAGAACGTCTTAAGGGTAAAATAATCAACTGTCATACAATTGTTAAGAATCTTAATCACAGAGCAGTAAAAGTTCGTAAGTAAACCTTTAGTACCAAAAATTTACCGTAAATCTCA